TTATAATGTGCCTTGGTGTGGATTTGTTGTGATACTGTACCTTTAGCATCCTGTAATCCTCTTAAATTTGGTTCTCTAATTCATTCTTTATGTTCATAAATTTTTCTGATATTTCATTGAATAGATTTTTCATTCCTTTGGTTTGGAACTCTTTCAATAACTCATCCTAATAACTCTTAAATTTGCTCTTTTCATGCTTATCCCATATGTCTTGAATTTTCTGCTCATGGTTTCTTACCATTTTCACTGTGTGATCTACATTCTTTTCAAGATTATATATTTTGTCTTCATTGTCTGAGGTCCTGTCTTCCAAGTGGTCTAATCTATTGGTGATGCTTTCAATTGAACTTTTAATTTGGTTTATTGTTTCTTTCATTTCAAGTATTTCTGTTTGTTTGTTTGTTTTTACAACCTATATCTCCCTATTGAAGTAATATTTTTCTTCCTATATTTGTTTATATAGCTCTTTGTCAAAATGATCTTTTGTTGCCTGCATTTGCTCCCTTGTATTATCATTTAATTCACAGAATATTTTTATTATGTATATCCTGAACCCCTTCTCTGTAATTTCTTCTACTTTGCTGGCCATTCTAATAATGTGGTATCTTGATTTGTTTTGCGCACTTTCTTCCCTTGTCTTTTCATGTTCTTCCCTTCTAGCACTGTGTTTTCAAGACCTTACCATTTTTACCCAATGGGCTTATAGTGCCACTGTAGGGTTCCAATACCTCTCCTTTGAGGTGAAGGACAATGCTAACAGATCCCAATATAAACAATATACAACTAAAAATGAATATTTGCTATTAAGACATTTACAGTTTGGTCACAATGTACAGAGATGATGAATTCAATTATTATTTACAATATACTCAGTAGGTTTGTAAAAGGGTTCACAGTTTCTGATGGTGGACAAATAACCGGGGGGTGAGGAGAAGGATGATATGCTGAGGAGATAAGAAGAGAGGATACAGAGTTATTATATCTTAGGAAGTGTGAAAAGAAAACCAAATAGGAAGACTAGTAGCAGGAGAAGAGAGAGAAAGTAATTTTGGGTAGATAAGTAAGTAGAAAGACAGTAGAATACATAAAATAAACACATATATATATATATTAAGAAAAATTAAAAATGTTAAAATAGTAAAAATTGGTGGAAAAAAGAAAACAAACAAACAAACAAGAATATGCAACACAACTGTATTATACTATTCAGACATCTTAGTCCTCAAAATCCTAATTCCTGCAAAGTACTTGGCTTCATGTATGTTGGGGATGTGAGGGCAGGAGAATAGAGAAGGAGAAGAAACAAAAAATCTTGAAGGAAGAAACAGGGATTATTTTGTTTGTAGATCACTATCTTTCCTGCTTACCTTCTCATCCAATAGGTGGAGTCCTCTATTGTTAGCTGGTATCTCCGCCCTCAGGATGGTGAAGGTAACCAGGGTGGGAGGGTTGGTCCTGGTTGGAGGGCACCTGGAAGTTGGGTATGGGACCTGCCAATCCCCAAAGAAAGACTACATCTCAGGGATCATTTTTGGGCCCATTCATGTGATGTGAGCACATTGTCTTTATCTCCTTATTTCGCCTGAAGACCTCCCAGTTCCTGGTCTCTGTACTAGTCTCTAAACTGTATCACATTCAACCTCTCCCTTACTACTTTCTAATGAGGGACCTTTCTCTCCAAGGGTCTTGACCATGGTGCTTTGGATGCTGCACACCTGCCCCACTGAGAGCTGTTTTGTGTTAGGCACTCACTATGTCTGGTTAGCAGCTGCTGAGGAGAGGGGTAGTTAGAAACTGGGTACTTGGAATTGGCTAATTTCACTTAGCTTTATCTTCTCCAACACCATCCATTTACCTGCAAATGCCATGATTTTATTCTCTTTTATTGCTGAGTAAAATTCCATTGTGTGTATATGCTACATTTTTTTTTTTATCCATTTATCTACTGAAGGGCATTTAGGTTAGTTCCACAGTTTAGCTATTGTGAATTGTGCTGCTATAAACATTGATGTCACTGTGACCCTGTAGTATGCTGATTTTAAGTCCTTTGGGTATACAAAACAAATGCCAAATATTTTCTCTGATATAAGGAGGCTGATTCATAGTGGCGTAGGGAGGGGAAGCATGGGAGGAATAGACAAACTCTACATAGGACAGAGGGGTGGGGGTAGGGGGTTAGCAACAATGGTGGAATGTAATGGACATCATTATCCAAAGTACTTGTATGAAGACACGAATTGGTGTCAAGATAGTTTATATATAGCCAGAGATATGAAAAATTGTGCTGTATATGTGTAATAAGAATTGTAATGCATTCCAGTTATTTATTTTTTAAAAAAATCAATTAAAAAAAAAGAAAGAAAAAAGAAACTGGGTACCTGGCCAGCCAGAGTTCCAAATTGGAAGTTGCCCCCACTAAAGATAATGATGAAGGTGACCCAAGACCCAAGATGGAGGTGGTTGCTTTTGCCAATGGGGTGTCAGGTCCAGTGGGGGGAACTGGACAATGGCGTTGGATGACGAATTCAGAGATGAGCTCTGTGGCATGCTTACTTCAGAGCTTGTGTGAGCTTCTCTGGTGCAGGCAGGCTACTGCTGGTAGGGAACTATTTCTGCTGCTGCAGAGTCCCAAGATGGCGGCCACCAGGGAAGGCCCACCTTGGTAGATAGGGGTCCACACGGGGGCTGCCCAGGCCAGAGTTCCTGCAGTGGGAAGCTGCCAAGTGTCCTGTGTGGGAGCCGCATCCATGATTTCTGCTGTGCAGGTGCTGAGGCCAATGGTCAGGCTCAGGCACCCAGTAGTTCTGTGTGGGCGAGTAGTTGGGAGACCTACTCTGATACTGAGACCTTGAGCCTGTTGGGAAAACATATAATGGCAGCAGCACCCCAGAGAAAAACCCCAACATGGCACCTAACGACCCTCTTTCTCCTCTTTTTTTCTTTCACTGGTGTGAAACGTTCCCGCTGGCGCCAATGTTCACATCCTGCTGGTGGAAGCCTTAGCCCCAATAAGAATTAACTTCTTGGGCTCTGGAACTGACATATGGGAGAGCTTGCCAATAAACGGGCGACCTGTTATCTACCTCAGCCCTGCGACCTCTCCTTAGACCTATATAAACACACAGCCTTTGTAATAAAGCGGAACCTCTTCGGTGATCTGTGTCATGTGGTGTCTCCCATTCGTAGTGCGGTGCGGTGTCTTCCAGTCTTACAGAGCCCTGAATGGCTGGTGGCCATGATTCATACACAGGGCAGGAATATTGCTTAAAGAGAAGCATTATTGTCATTATTTGAGTCCCAGGTCATGGAACAACCCAAAATGCTGCCTCTCTGGTCCGCCATCTTGGATCCACTCTTCAATGTTCTTTTAATGAAATAAACACATTAATTCTCAAAAAAAAAAAAAAAAAAAGAATAAAATCAAGAGGAAACTACAGACATCTTTACTTCTGAACAGTGATGATAAATCATAAATAAATTATTACTATATAATGTAAACTTTTTTCAACATATAATACACACACATGGAGAAAGACACATTAATATGAATGTAAAACTCCATGAAGTATTATTTGTCACATGACTATGCGGATACTACCCAGGTCAAGAATTCAAACATAACAATACCTCTTACTAGTCATATATATATATATATATTTTTTTTTAATTGGGTCTTTTTAGATATATATGATATTGGAGTTCATTTCAACACTGAGATATCATCTTACTCCAGTTAGAAATGCAATTATCAAGAATACAAGTAACAATAAGTGTTGGCTGGGATGTGGTTAAAAGGGTGTGCTCATACATTGTTGATGAGACTTCAAATTGTTGCACCACTGGAAAGAAAGTATGAAGATTCCTCAAGAAATTAAAATAGAACCACCATTGACCTAGTTATCCCCCTTCTCAATATATATAGCAAAGACATAACTTTCCTGTGTACATATATGACAACACCACAGTGAATCTCACCAGTGTACATCCACAAGACTGGGGTTCTAATTAGTATAAGATATATTTCACATTTGTATAATTATATCAAAATGGGTTTTATTCCTTTGCACACCATAAAAATTTTTGATAGTAGAACCCATGTGGTGATTGCTAAATTCCCTTGCTCTTATATCTGGCCAATGCAGGACACGGGAGGTCATGAAAACCTCTTCATTCCAGAGAAGTCCAAACCCATACCCTCTAGGAAGAAATGCTGAGTAATCTAAACAGACTGGGCTGCCGAGCCACCCATCTAGTCTGCTTGCTTTCGGTCATCCTCTTTCTGCCAATCATGTCTTGGTACATTGGTCCATGGTTAAACCATGTTTACACAATGAATTCTCCATGAAACACCAAAAGGACAGAGTTCAGAGAGCTGTACACGTGGAGATGCCTGGAGTGTGGTGTGTCTAGCACAGACCGGGAAGCTGCACGTACTTTCACCCACACCTCACCCTGTCCATCTCTTCTTCTGTATTCTCTGTAATCTCCTTTTTTATAACCATCTAATGCAAGCAAATATTTCTCTGAGTTCTATGAGCTGCTCAATCACTTCAATAAAAGCTTAATAGAAGAAATTTGCTAGAACCAGGAATTTTAGACAATTGCATAAAAAAAAAACAGGTCAAATAACTCTGGGCGTACAATTGGTGTCTAGGTTGTAAGAGGACAGTCTTGGAAATGGGAACATTACCCTATGAGGTCTGTAACCATGGCCAGGTAGAGAGTGTCAAAACTGGCTTGGAGTAGAGACTGCTCAGCTGGTGACCTCTACATAATTGACTCCCTGCATGGTGGGGAGAAATTCCCACATATTATGGGATCATGAAAGTGATGTGTGTGGTGAGAGAAGAGCGAGAGAAATTAGTTGGAGTGGGTTTTTCCCTTACATCATCCACAAGGGCTTTCTGTGTACTGTATTCATTGGAGTTCTCTTTAGCCCTCTGCAGGGTCACCCTGTCTTCACACTTCCTACTGGCTGAGTTCTGCTTCCTGCATTGGCCATGACTGCTTGGAGCTGCCTGGTGACAGGAGCAGGAGGCTTTCTAGGCCAGAGGATCATCCACTTGTTGGTGAAGGAGGAGGAACTGCAGGAGATTAGGGCTCTGGACAAGATCTTCAAGCTGGAAACCAGGGAGGAATTCTCTAGTAAGTGACCTTGAGGCTTGAAAGTGTGATTCCATTCTCTCACCCTCAAGCAAACTTAGAGCCATAAGGCTCCTTGAATGTCTACACTCATCAGGAGGAATGTGGGATGGCATTGCTTTCAGGAGACTGGATCCTTGTGACTCACAACTGGACAGGGTGGTAGTAGGCAGCCAGTGGGTCTCTAGGTCTCCTTCCTTCCCATCTAGAGAATATCACATCAGATCTCACCTTTGCTCACAACTCTTTACTGTGGTGAAGGGTTGGTGTGGCAATAGGTGTGTAACATCAACAGAAGATTATCACATAGACATTCATAAGTAGAACCCTGCCTCTCCTAATTGCCCATAATTGGGTTCTTTCTTTGTTTCTGTTGTTCTGTTCTGCTCTGTTTTGTTGGGAGGTGGGGGTATATTTAGCATTTTCAGTGGAAGTGAATAAAAATGAATTGAAGGTAAAACTGTGTATTTAGGTCTCAGAAAGCTACAGAAAGAGACAGGGAAAGTTACCAGTTTGCATTTTGACACCTGTGGGAATACACAAATCATGAATTCTGTGGAGTGGCACTCACACTAAAGCTATACTTGTAAACTGTGGTCTGAAGGAGAAATGGAAAAGAATCCCTTGGGAACTGCCTGAAACACCTTTAGGTCTGCAGCAGGCATCAGGGTAGAGGGTCTCTGGCAGGAGAAAGGTCAGGAATTGGTAAGGAGAATGCCCTCAGGACCCTCAGATGTGGAAAAAACAAAAGCCAGTTACTGCCCAGCTCTGTGAGGTGTGTACAGCCTTCAGCATGTTTATGTCAGTAGCACAGGAAGCAAAGCAGAGAGGTGGGATCTGGGAAAGGCCTTCACTCTCACTTTTAGCCCAGTGATTTCTGTCATTGAACACACTGAGGCATTTTCACAAAGTGGAGGCATTGTCTCCAAAAGGCAGACAAGGGTGAGCAGAGGAAGAGAAGTGGATATTGGATTGGACAGTAGCCTCCACTCAATAAGCAAAAGGTCTCAAAATGCTTGGGACAACAGGGTCCTCCATTCCTACCTCAGACTGGCACAGAACTGCCTCTTACAGGCAGTCAGAGCTCCTGCGCTCATACCAGCATGCACTGCATGAAATGCAGCACACAGAGGAGGAAAAACCAACAGGGCAATGGCAGGCAGCTCCAGCCTTCACTCTCCCTTCCCCTACCTGCTCCTGGGGACTGCAGCCTGTGGGAAGGAATAAGGAAAACAGGGGCAGATGCTTAGTCACTGGCTAAAGCTAAACAAAAAAATGAGCACAGAGAGAAGAGCTTGGACACTCTACCTGGCACCTCTGAGGATATGGTTACCTACTGCTAGGGTCAGTCTGCACCTGTGCTCCCTAAAGTGTCCCAATTAATCCTGCTCAGTTGGCATCAAGTTTCTGCACTCCCCTTATTTCTCTTCAGGTGCTACCTGCACACTCAGCCTCCCCTCTGCACCAGCTCTCAGGCTGTTTCCTCAAGGTGTACCCTTTGGTCTCTTCCCCAGATCTCACTGGCTCTCTGATATTTTCACCAGCACCTTAGGTTCCATCCTCCATACCCACCTGTCTCTGAAGTTTTCCCCCAACAACTTACACATTGATAAGGATTGAAGACAAAGATTTTAGTAAGTAAATGCCAGTGTTTAATATTAACACATTTGCAATTCACCCAGGCTAAATTGTCAAAGAGAGGGTGGGCAATGAGCATGCAGCAAGAGTTCAAGGTTGTTAGACTCAGGCAGAGGGCACAGGATATAAAGACCCAGTCCTGCCTTGGAGAATAAGGAGACGAGCACAGTGGCTCTTTCAGCTGCCCTTTATACTATAAGAGGTTAGAACTTTTCATATTTGTTCAACTACTCTTCCTGTTATGGGGGTGTGGTGAGAGTGGAGGGGAACCTGGGATTTTCAATGTAATAGACCAGAGAAAACACAAATGCTGTTATATAATGATATATATAGTTGTTTCGGTTTGGGGCCAGTTTTTGACTCATCACTCTCTAAGACAAAGCATACTGGATCACAAAATCCTCTTGATTCTACCAAAATCCTATTCTATACACTCAAGGGGGAAATGCTGAAAAAGCTACACAGATAGTTCTTGCTGAGTTTCTCCTCAGTCTGTCAGTGTTGTGCCAATCCCCTTCTTTCCCATCATATTGCCACAATGTTTTCCAAGTGCCAATCATAGCTATGCAGTGAAGTACCCTTAATAAAGCAAAAGAACAAGGTTCAAACAGCTTCCTGATGGATGAACACAAGGAGGTTCTGAGAGAGTGGCTGTATTTTTCCTTCCCAAATGCTTTGCCCTATGCATCTCTACATGTGTGTCATTGTTATAATATCATATAAACTGGTAAAGGATTTCCAGGCTCTTACTTCAGAATCAAGCATCTCAAAATGCTGGTTATATACACAAATTGTAACATAAAGAGTAAAAAGTGCCAGAACATGCTTTCCCCTTTTGGCCCCAAACCAAAACAACTATCTATATCATTACATAGCAACACTTGTGTGTTCTCCCGTCTATTACATTGAAAATCCCAGGTTCCCCTCCACTCTCACCCCACCCCCGCAACAGGAAGAATAGTTGAACAAAAGCTTTTCTCCATGCTACTTAAAGTCTAGAACCCAGGGAGGAAGAAATTACCTCCTTCACTGAGATTTTAAAACTAAACTCATATCACAGGAAGACTCAAGTCTTTCAACACATCTATTCAGACTTGTTCTATTCCATTGTGCTCTATTCATGTCCCATAGAATCATTGTTCATTCTAGAGGAAAGTATACTTTGTCTCAAGCACAGTGTGTTTCCCTGAAAATTAATGGATAGCTACCCCCAAATTGTCCAATACCCCATTTTAAACCTCCCTGTAGATAAAGGGGTTTATCAGCTTCTGAATGATATTGGATTACTGGGAAATTGTACTCCTCTGATATACCCCCATGCAGTGAATTTCCCTTTCCTAGCAAGATAATACTTTATACGTTTCTGTTTCATCTTTGTTACTTTATTCCAGGAAAGCTTCAGAAATCACATGGGAAATTTCCCATCCTCTTTCACCAGAAAACACAGATGTTTTCCTGGGATATTTGATTAACATAAGCAAATAAATCAAACTCTTTCCTAGCTACTTGGTCAGAAACAAAGTTCTGTCAACCTGAGACTTTCAACTGGCTTCTAAAGGGTGAGGGAACATTCTTGATGAGTGAAGTGGAATTTGCTAGAATGGCCCTGGTTCACAAAAACTTATTATGCGGGAAGGCCAATGATAAAACAGTGAGAGATGTGAATACTTCTGTCCCTGGCTGGCATCTCGGTCACCCATGGTCTAGAAAAGCAGCTGTGCTTGCAAACATTTATTGAGGACACAAGTTACCATTGGAATTTGGATATGGGAATAACACCTGGGGAGTTTCTCCCTTGGATGCACGTGGAAATGCATTTAACCAGGAAACAGTAAAATTTCCAGTCCCTTGGCCATTGTTAGCCAGGATGCCTAAAGTGAAAATGGAAGAGAGCCTGAGTCTGACTGAGGTTAGACCAAGCTCAGAATTCAGTCTACCTGAACTCAGACCACCAGCCTCAGTGACCTCCTGGGAAAAGCTGCTAGAATAACAGAGAGCACCTCTAGGACTTGGGCACCAGCTGGCCACCCATATGAGGAAGGACAGTACCAACATTCTATGGAAATCAGAGGGTTTGGTTTGAAGAAATAGTTTCATCTACTTTCATCAAATGGACGGTGAGAGTAACACCCTTAGGAGCAGTGTGTTCGTTTTAAGTGCTACAGAGTGGAAGAGACTGTTTGGGTGGATGCAGGATACACAGCTCCAGATGGAACCATCTCAGATGGCTTTTCCTGATGGAGACCCACACTAGGTTATCCCAAGGGAACAGCTGTTCAAGGGAACTATACAAAGCCACTGTACAATGGCTTTCATGCTGAGAACCGGACTTGCCACATCCCCACAAATGCTGCCTGGAGCAGTCCACGTGAAGTAGCTTGAATGCCTCCTATGCACGTGTGTGGAGCTAGATTCAATATGACTGGGATATTCACCTGTTTGTCAAGCACAGGTTGATGCTCTGGTTAATAGGTCCCTTCTTCTTGGGCACCCTGTGTAACGGTACCTCTGAGAAAACTTTTCTATGTGGGTATCTCGGTTTCCCCTTATAGCTCTTACCATTGGTAACATAAACAAGAGGCTAATTAAGAAAAAAAGTAGTGAAAATGGAAGTAGAATTATAGGATTCATCCCAGGGAAGGTAAACTATTTTAAAAGGTTTCTGAGAGTTAAGTTGGATGTAGAAATTGTTAAAGAAAAACTCTTGTGGCTAAGGGAAGTCTGAAATAAAAGGGCTTATTGAGCCCTTCCATACAAATGCTAGTGAGGAGAAGTAGGAGGCAGGTCCTGGGTGGGTCCTACAGCTACCAGCATTAGAAAAAGTTACAGGTTGGGACATATCTGCCACACCAAATCTAAGAGCATTGGATGAATTTTGGGAAGAAAAGTGCTGCGATCTCCACTGTCCATAGATGAGGACAATGCTTAGTAGGAGAGGTTGGGGGATCGGGGGATAATCTGTAAGAAGTACTTGGTGAGTGTTCTGGGTGGAAAGTGACTCCCAATGACCCCTTGATAGTCATTCTCCTGTCCTTCCAAGTCAAGGGTTTCAAAATATGCTTAGGATTATGGAGAAGTTCCTTGATTTTTTTGTCCTAAGCTGTTATTGCAATAACTTTAAAAAATCTTTTGCTCTCTTCCATTCTTTGGCCTACCTCTGAATATAGAACATCTCAGAATTTTGGAGTCTTATCAAAAACATTGTTGGGAGTGAAAGTAGAAAATTGAAAAGAAGAGTCAAGAGTCTCATCCCAGTAGAGTGTAAATATTGACCCAGTTACTGAGAAGTGTAGTGAATAAAATGGACATTGACAGGTCAAAAAAATTAATACTGTCAAGTCATAGCTGTGCCATTAAAAGAGATT